TGCCTAAGATTCTGATGAGGATCCCTCATGCAATCCTGGAAACTGTTCCTCCTCGGTGATGGAGGCGTGGACTGGCATCTATCTGAGTTACTTCCTCTCCTTGACATTCCCATGAATCATCTCTGTGAAGTCCCATAGGATCTTGTCCTCCTCCTTCCTTCTCTCCAGGTTGAAGGCGAGGGCGCTCTTCTCATCAGCATCATGGTCTGCTTCTCCTGGGGCATACCCACAGCTTTCATATGAGGAGGTCTGGGGAAGAAATTAATCACAAAAGGAACTAAGTTGCAGCAGAAATTGAGACATTTCTTCAAAAATTATAGGATCCTTGTACGCCCATTGTTTTTTTACACCTTTTATTTTGTAAAATAAACTGTTAGTGTCTATTGCTTTTTATCCATTTTCATGTCAGAAAATGGACAAAAGGATTCCTTTGACACTGCTGACCCATTACTTCTGAAAGCATTTCTGATTTATACGCTTTGTTAAAAATATTTTTCCAGACATCCCTTGAGGGTTTAGTGAAACAAAAAGTGCAATTTTTAAACACTTAAAATTGTCTTTCCCTTTTCCCTACAAGTGAGGGTGCTGTTTTACAGTAATACTGTAACGTCAATCAGGGAAGACCACAAACCTACAATATCTATGGACCAAAAGCTCCTACACTAGTACAGAAATCAATGATTGATCCCGACTGTGTGGGCAGAAATATTTCAACAGTGTGCGCAACTCTGTTTAGTTGGATACAAATCAGAAATTTTGGATGGTGACTGATAATACTGTTAAGTGTTTACAACATGGTCCCTTTTGTGTTTTGGTTTAATATTTGTCAAAATTAAGGTAGATCCTTCTTTAAATAAGAGCTCTGAACACTTAAATTTTTGTCCGTAGTCATTGCTCACCTTCAAAAACCTGATCAAATTCCCATAATGTATGTGATTTTAATTTTTAGACTTTAGTTTTGAAATGTTTTGGAAACACAGTTCTCAGTGCTCTATCAGATAAAACTTGAGAAAACATTTTAAATTTACTTTCAAAATATTCACTAAACAATAGGGGTGTCAGGAATTTATCTGAATTTCACATAACGTGCACCTTGGCTTCTACTAATGGCTTGTAATAATGGGCAATATTATGAGGAAGAAAAGTTGAACTGTGCCGGGTTAGAACTTTAATGAAAACACCAACAGGGCCAAATAATGGACAATTGCCACAGTTGCCCCCAATCCATCTTTTTTGATGTAGAGCAGTGCTGCACAGCAAATCATGAAATCCCAGGGGACAAGGCAGCCATTTACTCGTAGTTATTAAAAATGGAGACTTTCCTTTAATTATGCCCCTGCTGTTGTCGGTCTAAAGGTATTTTATGTCTGTGATTAGACACTTCATTTCATGAGTTTTACTATTAAAACTGTGAAACCCAAATTACTCCTTGAACATGTTGAACACGTCTCATGAAATATGGACCATTGATCAATGATAATTTGTCATGAAACAGAAATGACCCATGAAGGAAAAGGAACTTTAGGCCAGGAAAATGTGAAGAATTCCAGTATAGTGGGTGCATTCAACTAGCTTGCCCTGGTTACAAGGGTTTAACCTCATCCCTATCGTCTTGCTTGGTTGACACAATGCACACAACCATCCCTAGGTCAGGGTTGCCCTAACAGCTAGCCACAAGCACCCAAGGGTTTTTCGGGGATGGGGACAAACTTGATTCTGGGGGCCCAATTTTTTTTTTATTTTTAAAGTTGTTTGAGGGGTTAGGCTACATTTCCACTTTTCAAAAGAAGGGAAATTAAATAGGCCAAAAAGATCCTTTCATTTTTTTCAAAAGAAAACAATTTTTGCTCCTTTTTAGGACATGAGCCCAATTGGCCCCTCCCCCTTTCCCGGATTCATCCTTGCAGAAAGCCAGCAATGATATGAAACAGAGGACTCTTACCTGTCCTACTTATGATGTAACCTGCCTCTTCACTTTGGAGATATCATCGGTCAGTCCACTTGCACCATGACGCTAGCTACCCTCAACGTTCATGTAGGCAGCAGCCATGGCAGTACATTCACCTGGCAATGAGGCCTTCCCAAATCTAAACACAGGGAAAAATGACAAAAAACCTAAGGTTTTTCAGTCACACTGCAATAATATTTCTTTCCTCAAATGAGCAAAACATCCATGTTTCAACCCATCACCACATAGGCTCTTACTGTGGGTCGCTGTTAAATCCGGGACCAAGTTGACAGTGCAATGGAGTTGACTTGAAGCAAGTTGATTCCAGACCAAGTTAGCGACTTCACACTGACATGACTGATGAGTATACGCCTACAGTGTATGCACATTGCCATGTTTTGCCGGACCATATCCAAATCTTTTAAAAAGGCAATTCGTAGAGTCCAAGTTGCTCAGACTATTATTGACTGATCTACATCATCCTGATGCAGTCGCGTCAATCATCATTTCAAAAATTCAAATATGCACAGCATGCCAAAGTCAAGTTGAGCTTGTTGGGCTTACATATGGGATGGCCTTGTATATATTATTATCATGGGATGGCCTAGTAGTACAGGGAGCACATCAGACCCAACGACTTGAGGGATAAACAAGATGTGTGCAAAATCTTAGCAGGGTGAAGTTACTCATGTCATTTTCATAGAAATGGGCCATGCACATGTACTGTAGCCAGTGAGTGTAGGCACCTGTGGTGTCGATCCTAGTCCTGTAACGGAACTGTTTGCCAGTCACGCCAGTGTAATGTTTTGTCTGTAATGTGCATTGTGGGTAAAGCCTCCTTACCCGGGAGTTGGCAAGATGGCTTCCAAGGGTTCATTACGTAAATAAACCAGTCGTTTTATGTCTGTATTTCTGTTAATAACTCACAACGTGTAAAGTGTGGAATAAAAGCAAAATCCATTGTACTTACTCCATCAATGTCATCACGCAGGTGTGCCGGCGGTTCCTCAAAGACTAATTTCTTGATGATACACGAAGTCGCGAAAATGTGCTCAGTAGGCATATCTATAAACATGTACTACACACGTGCATCGTGTGCCACGCCACCGCACACCACGTGTTGTTTGCAGCGTATCCATACGAATCTGGTGTTCGATGCGTCAGAGTTTTGCGTGGTGACGTCACGCACGGACCTTTCGCTAAATTTAGCGTGGACCCCGTCGTGTTCGTTATAGCGGCGTTCCACTCTATGCCATTTTTTGGAATAGCAGAAGTACTTGGAATCTAGGTGTACTTCTATTCGTTCAACATCGTCTATTATTTACTATTCTCGTCAACTAGTGGTCATTTTTTTTGCCTTTGTAGATCATATTCTATTCTCTTTTTTTTGGGGGGGGGTGTATTCACAACGAATATCACTTGTCTCGTTAGCAACCGTATCGTCCGGACAATTTATTAAGTGACCTTACACCACAAAGCAGGGAAGTGAACACCGCCAAAGCCTGCCCAAAAAAGGGTGGAATGGTGGGCCCTCTGGCCTGGCACCGCAATGTCTCCGGACCCACAATGGACCCAACCCCGCTCAGGGCGGGCTCCCTGTAAGCTCCTGCAGTCCCACCGGTACTTTTCAATTTTGTCCACGGGTCTCTTGGGGGTGAATCACGGATGGCTCTCCCGATAGAATCAGGCATCGTCTGTTCCCCCCCCCCCCATTTTTTTTTCAGAAAGACAACTTGTTGACACTGTTTACCCAACGATTAACTGCGGCTCTCTAATTTCGTGGACCAAAAGACCTTAACCTAATTGGCCGATTCAATGAGCTTCCCCAAACATGGGACGCTTCTTGTTTCAACAATTGGCCTAATGCGCTGGAATTGTTGGGAGGAGGGGGGATGACAACCGGCAGGGGTAAGGAATTGATAAATTCAGTGGAGCATGCTGCTATGCCGGTCCCTTTTTAATCTCCTTGCACGCGAGGTTTTACTGCATCTTTAACACATTTTTTGTAGCCATTCTCTGCGCGAACGGATATCTTCATCATCCATTGGCTGCCTCTACACTGAGCAAGAATGGTCTTCTCAGACATCAATGACGTCATCTATCCATTCCTAATGCGGCCTACAGTTAATCCACGGTTACACAAACCTGCTTCCTTTGGCTATAGCAGAAAATTTGCAAAGAGGTTGTCATGCACAACATAAATTCAAGGTTTATTGTGTTACACCTTGCCGATATGGACACCGAGTGACATTGGAACATAACAGATAGCGTGACAAGTCAGGTTATTACTCGCCGATGGGGACCACACTACCTTCAGGCCGACGGGGCCGTGCGCGTGAAAAGAACTCCCACACACAAAGGGCCAAAGTCATGCAGACACGTCCATTGATGGGAAGGAGAGACAAACGGAGGCCTGGTTTGGCGTGTAAATAACATCCGAATCGGACGGTCCATACCCGCGTGAGGGGGGGGGAGGAGTAATTTCAGGGTGCCAGAGTTCCCGGCCTTTTACAAGGCTTCCCTGGGTCCGGAGTACGGCAGTCTTTAGGTTAAGACCTACATCCCCATTAACTCGTTAAATGAGTACAGACCACCCATGCGTGTTTTTTTTCTCAAGTCACAACAGATTGGGACTTCGTTGTACGAAGTGTTAGATTGTTTCAGAAATGATACAGGTCTCATGTAAAAGGTTGTTACTTGTTTGCAAACGCACAGTGCAACTTCTTCAAGCTAGGAGTATAACAGTATATCAGACTGTGCGAAATCACCAGGATATGTACATGCATGGCAGGATTATTTTATATGATAATGCAAAGTCATGAGGGTTTAACAACAGCTTAAGTTTTCAGTGTCATAAGTTTGGCCAGAAGAAATTCACTTAATTCTGTTTCGGTATCATCCTCTATATGTCAGGCCTAATACCAAAGGATTAGCTTTCCTCACCCAAACAACCGAGCCGAGTAAGCAGATGAAGAGTGTATCAACCGTAACTGGTGCAGGAAAGAATGTTACGCCATAATTGCACCAATTCAGTGATGTGAATAGTAATCAACTTTGGCTCGGAAGTGCCGAATTCATTCGCCTGCGTGGAACCATAGAGAATCACCCAGGGTGAATCAGCTTGATTAGCGTTTTTGTCAAACCGACGGGTGAGATACAAAGTTTCCTGCCGTCCCATGTACAGGATGTAAGCTCTGTCCAGCGACCGATGACCGAAGAATCGCCCCTGTGCGCGCGCACTTGGGTGGCTCATTCACTCGGGGTCTGCGCCAGCCGAACGCGACAGCGTCTTCTCGTGATCATCCACCGTTAATGAGTGGTTTTTTATCGCCCCAGCGGAGTTTGTTTACTGGTCAAAGGAACAATCGTAACGAAAGTTTACTTTTCACTGGATGTTAATTGAAGGTTTGGGAAATGCAGCATTATGATTAGTGTCCACATCAGAGGTTTCGCACGCATTGTAGGCCTCGCGCATAATTTCCGAGTGATGCGAGCACGGTCAGTTGCTCTTACAAACATTAATCGAAGTATTTTTTCCTGCTTTCCAGGGCCCTTTTGCATATTTTGTACGTGTACATGTACATGTTTATGTATTTACACTTCTCAGATGACGTGTTTACCAAATTATTATTGGCCACGGCGAAGAGTATTATGAGAATACTCAAGCCACTAGTTCTGACCCAAGAGGGCGCCACAGTCTATTTTGTATTTCAGACTCTTATATATTCCGCTCTCCCAAAATTATAGTGATCATTTTATAAAGAAATTTCATCGATAAAATGGTACAGTGGGGGTCGTAAATATTTGTAATTGGGCATAGTTGCGAGTTAGAGACAGAATTCACTAAATTGGGCATAGTTGCGAGTTAGAGACAGAATTCACTGAAATGTAGAACTCGAGGTGTAAACCGTGTATTGAAGTGCAGATGTAGGCAAAGTATGGAACTTAATAAGGAACAGGATAGGTACACAAAAGGGTTGAACAGCGAATGATATGCAGTGCCTCCTGTGTTCTTTACGCTTACAAATTCTGAGCCTTTTCGTTGCTCTGAATTAGCCTTTCTGAGAGGGCTTGCGAATAATAAGTCTCTTAATCCGAAAATTGACTCTTAAGTTGCCACAATGACGTGCATCACCGTCGATAATTTGCTTAATATGGCATCGATTTGGAGATTGGCAGGGAGCATTCAACTCGTGCCATCCGTGTTAGAAAAAATCTGCGAGCCAAATTTTAAGGTTGTGTAATTGCACCGCATAATTCACTCGTAGCACTGCGCCAGTCAGTCTGTGTCAAGTCTCAGAAAATAATAACTTAACTAAGGAGCGTCTTCAATGGATGTTAGCAAATGCACGCTTCAGGATAAGTGCCTCATAAACTACTTTATGTATCATCTATACTGTCACCTAACGTCAACCATCATCAATTAGAGTGTTTTCAGTCATCATGCCTTTTCTCACAGATGCAAAATGTACGCAAATATTCTGAGTGTGACAGGCTTATCAAGGTTTTCAAGAACGAACGTGCCATTAATTTAAGCGAGATTTGCAACGAAACACCACCTGTTTGTTTTTGTTTTTTTCTTTCTTTCCATTTTGAAGTAGTAAATCGTGGATGTAAATAATGACACCCTCAGAGCCGAGTTCCTTTGTTTCATTTATCCAATTTCTATGCATCCACAGAATGTTACGCTTTATAGAGCCAGAAATGTATATATCTGTCCTAAACGTTTCTTGATATTTTAAGCACCCAGCAGACAAAACTTCGAACACACGCATTTTGTTAACTTTGTGTAAAGAAACTGAAGCGGACAGTTATTGCTGTGGTGATCATTGTAACTAACTTTTGACAAGAATATTTTGCTCTACAAACGATCTTACTTGTAATGAGCGTTTGGAAGTGGAGGCCAAGTGTTTGTTTATTCTTCCTCTCAAAAGGTCAAAGGTTAATCCCTCTTGTGGCAAATCGATATTGATTCCGCCTTCGTTCTTGTATTTCCACTGGGGGCAGTCCACCGATTCTTTCCGTGATCTCTAGTGACAATCGCAGTACAGACGGCCTTTCAGTGCTTTGAACCCTCAAGAAATTCCAGGGGCGCATCAAAGCTTACTGATTTCATGTTGTGACTTTATGTGGCTGGAAGAAATAGACTGCATCTTTGGGAATACCAAGTTAAAAATATGAGTTAAAAAGTTGAGTTTTTAATGGGGCTGTGTTGAAATTTGGGGTGGGTTTGCTTGAAGTCCTTGCGGGAATGGAAAATACCATCGAGCAAGGCACACGATGTGCCGAAGATGGCCACTGACCTTTTGTCATTGTCGCTGGGTGTAAAAGACTCACCCAAGCAGGTATAATAAGGCGCCATACCTCAGCCCACCGGGATGGAGACACACAGGAGATGGGCACCGTTTACTGTGTTTCTTTTTTAACGAAGGTGGTGGCGAGATGGACAGAAAGGCAATCATAGATTTGATTGAGAGAGTAACGGACCAGGCGTGGAACGACTGACAACATATCAACAATAATAGTACACACGTGTGGACAGACAACTGTACATATATCTGACGAAAATCGATCAATGGCACGAGAGTTAGCTGAAAATTCGATAAGATGAAACGCAATTTTTGAGTTAATTTAGTGCCCCCCCCCCCAACGAATGCTTCACTTGGCGGATGTCCCGATGAGCGTGTAGATCGTATAACTCAAGCACGCCATTGTGGCGGAGTTCGACTCAACGCGACTGTATAATCGTGCCACCCTGTGACAGAGAAGAACTCCTGACTTGCAAATTCAGCATTTTTATCTCGTTGTTCGCCTTTTTATCGAAGCAAACAGAATAAACTCGAGTCGTTACCGGTCACGAAGCCATTTAATAACGTGTACCTGGTTTGAAATTGTCATCTGTACACATTGCTTACATACCAGCATCGTTGGGCGCGGTTTGGGCCATTTCGACGTTCGTAGCGTGTTTAAAATACTTGAGTCGATAAAACTGTTTTAAATTGGAACCTTTCTCGGCTAACTGAACAGATGTTGCCTCCTCATGCATAATGTGTATTCAGAAATGTATAAAAATAAATTTAAAAAGAACATTTTAAAAGGGGGTGGGGAGAACACTGTTAAACGAAAACTATCGACTTTTCAATTTCGCTCAGTAAACATTCTTATGTAAATGATCCATTTCGTGAATTCTTTCTCATTACTTGGTGGCTCTGGGAGTGTCACGTGACACTAGCACGGTTAAAGCAAACGTAGACTTCAGGCTTTTTTCCCAAGATGGAAAATACTTGACTTTCTACGCAAGATCTTAGTAAGATTCCCGAGTATCACACTAAATAAAAGCTCTGCCGGTTTGTTTGATTCTACAAATCTCAAGACAAGTATCATCCTTATTTGTGACTCAGAATATCATCTCTTATGCGTCATCGAAGTGCGAATGCCAAATTGTGATGCAGGGGAAACAAACCGTACACACTGAAAACTTTACCAGCTCGTAAAGATTAAAAAGGCTTATATAGCCGCCATTTAAACTTTGTTCCCACTCAACGTTCACCGAGAACCGAGCAGCAACTTCTTGTTATTCGCTGATGGAACTTACAGACCAGGTGTTTCGTTAGAACGGGCTGTTTGCTACGGGAGCCGAAAGCAGCGCCAGTTCGCGTGTATTTTTTAGGGTCAGTACAACCCGTCTGTCTAGCAATTAGAACCGATTAGGCTAATCGCCAGCCCAATC